AACTCAGAATCTGAGTGCAAATGTATTTATGGATAAATAGTGTTGTGTTAGGGGTAGCACCATCTAAATGACCTGGTCTGAAATGTGGCCTGTGTCCCATGAGACCCTCGTATGACTAAGGGCAGAATTGTTTTGGTAAAATAATGTCTCAGCTGCCTAGCATGAGATATAATTATCTCTCGGATAATTCTATCTGCACATAAACACGTTTCCGCTAATGGGTTAAGCATTTTATGTGTCATTAATTCCTCAAAAGAACCCTTATGTTAGATATTATTGTAGCCATTTTAAAATGAGGTATTCAAGGAACTGGATAAGAAACTATCCTAAACTCTCACAGCGAGTAGCGGGTGAGAGTCGGGCGCCAGGATTGTCGTGCCTCTCAAAGCTGGTGCACTTCCCATCAGCCTTCCGCCGCCTCTGGGCTTGCTGCTTAATTGGGGCTGGATCACATACAATCTCTCGCCTTGTTTTTCCATCTCATTCATCAGATCTGTCTCCCCTACGATATTTTAACACCTCAAGGACAGGAACATTTTTTGGCATCTCGATTCTTAGCTTGTCTGTGATAATGATGATCACATCCTACAAAAATTTCAGTTTTGCGAAGCAGACTTTCTCACTATCTTTTTGCTCTGTTTTTCAACTCAAGTGAAATCCAACATCCACCACCGCCACCTCAACCACCACCAACTTTTCTGTCCCTAGCCTGCTCTTCACCTCCTATTCTCTCTCGGATCTTTGAGATATATTTTCAGCACCCATTTGTGCTTCATACCTGGATTTTCTTGTTGCTTATTTTACAGATTGCTGGCATGTTTTGTAGGTATATTTTACATATTGTCAATCTGCTACATTGGAACATCATTTTAACACTGACTTCAAAAAAATATCCAATTTCTAGTGTCCAATGTAGGTGAAGCATTTTCATCTGCATAGATATGTACATGGACTAGATTCAAGAGCAAATTTTTTTGAGACTTGATGCTTTTGTACATTTTATATATGTAGAATTTTTAAATAAGTGGTTTAATTGCATTATGAATCTACCCAGATAGTAATTACAGTTTTTCATTGGAATTCAAATGACTTTTAACATAGGACCTATTATGTGAGTAGCTTTTCTTTAAGAACTCACTTTTTAAAAACGAACAAGGTGGAAAGAGCTTCAAAAAAGTTGGAAGAGGGTGCAAATCTATTTCAGGGAAGCATTTCAGAGAAGTTAGAGCTCTACTTTTGCTTTTCTAACAACTCCCAAAATTGCAGTTTAATCTTCAAGTCACCAGGAAAGTATCCAATTATTTTAAGTAACATTGTCTTTTAAAATCAGATTTAATTAATGATGTATTGTTTAACTTCAATTATTAATACCATCCAATGGCAAATATAAATACATTTTTCCTCTGTCTGTTTATAAAAGCGAACATAAGTAGAAGAACCTAAGGCACTGAAAACAAACACTTGGGAGAGACCATGGATGGAAATAAGCAAAAAGTTGAGTTCTTCCATGTAGAAATTGACCTAGTTTCAGTCCGCTACTAGGAGAATAGCTACAAGCTCAGAGAGCTTTTGTTGTTTGTTGTTTTGGTATTACAATTACCAGTAACTTTGAATCGGTGATTCCTATTCTCATAAGGCATTTTACTGATCAGTATCTTCTTATTTTGTTGAATTACCTCTGACCTAAATTTTTGATTCTTTAAATTAATAGCTTTTTTTTTTTTTTTTTTTTTTAGCATTTTGGGAATCTCAGATCACTTTGATAATCTAGAAAGCAGTGGTTTTTCTGTCCAGGAAAATGAACATACCCACAGACATACCAAGTCTAGTGTACAATTTTGGAGAGTTCAAGAATTGTTGAACCTGTTTGAGGACCCATTAAAGTATTTTAAAGAGCTTTATGGCGACCAATGTGTTTTCACCAAACAAAATTATAATGTTATCATTAGACAAAACCTCTTTAAGAACATTGAGTTATATCAGATGTTTCTGTAGGTCAAACATTTTTGCAGTTTCCATCCATGGATCAAAATGTTGAGTAAATAAGTGAACAAAAGCGAACTACATTAATAAAGTCAGGTATGGGCATAAAACTCTCCAGACACACAGCCACCTGCACATAAAAAGATACACACCATCTGTATTTCCTTACCAACCTGTGGTAGTCATGTTGCTGAGGCAGTGCCTCAATCTGGATTTTATTAACCTAGACTAAATAACATCCAATTTTCTGTAGTTAGAATAGCCTAGAGATAGTGTGATGGATCCTTAGGTTTTTAAAATGATAAATCAGGCATTCCTGTATGATTTTTACCTAGGGAAATTAGAATATGTTTTTATAGTGTCCTCTGCAGCATATTCAACATCAAAATGCAGAAAGGGTCCTTGTGTTTTAGCTCCTTTATTCATAGAGAAGATAATCCTGTTTCTGTTTAATCTCTTTATTTATTAGCTTTCATAGTTGCCACTAAATATTTTGAATCACTTCCAAATTTATTGGTCGATAATTACATTTCTCACCCAACTGAGAGACATCAGCAGCTTTATCTGTTTTACAAAAATGCATTAAGTACCTTAAGTTCCTTTAAAACAAGATGTCACACATGTCAAAATATAATTCTCAAAATGTTACACATAATTCTCATATAAATAGTTACTAAGCACATGTCAAGATTTCATTTAGCTCAACAATCAGGATGAAAATTCAGTTCAAAAAAGAGGAATATATATACACGTATATATAGAATATATATATATATATAATAGAGTGAGAGACTATATGTAACATATATTTTTTCTATATATATTATATAGTATCTCTGTATCCATAGCTATATGGATATATTTTATATTTATAAATACAGATTTTGGTAGCATTCCTGAATGAGACCAGTTTTTCCTCTATCAATTATTTAATTCACAGAATTCATTTAGAGTAAAACTCCATACACTCAAGGTTTCTAGTTTACTAAGATACCTCTCTTTTTGGTAATGTTAGGCTCTTTCACATACATCCTCAGACTCATCTGAAAGGCTTGTTAAAACACATTACTGGCTTCCACCCATAGTGCTTCTGTAGACCTGGGATGGGCCCTGGAAATTTGTGCTTCTGACAAGTTTCCAGCTGATGCACACTTTGAGAACAAGTGATTTAAGCCCAGGCTTTATTTGAGGATCAAGTAGGGCAGCAGGGAGTGTTGAGTAACTACCAAGAAAGTCAGTACAACCTCTGATTGGGTCCTTATTACTTCTTCTATGTTATTCCTGTTTTCTTCTCCTGTCCTCTGTACACACAAGATCATCCACACCTGCAGCTTCAGCTGCCACGTCTTTGTTGCTGCCTGCACAGTCGCACCCCAATGTTGCTCCCTACATTTGAACATTTCAAATCCCTAATAAGGGCCAGACTCCCAGTGTCTTCCCCTCAGAGACCTGGCCTCCCTCATTTGTCCCATTTCTGTCAGTGATTTCAATTCCACTGCAAACCAGGGCTAGAATGCTCCAAATCATGTGTTGTAAACTAGAAGGTGCTCTCCTTCCTCCCCAGTTATCATTGGCAGGCTTCTCTTAGTAGAGAAAATGTTTAATTTTTAAAAGTTTGTAATCTGAGAGAAAATCCTTTCAGTTTTCAATCTGCCAGTTCTCTCTTCTGTTTCGTGGATATAGCCTTAATTCTTTATAAGAAATAAAAGCTTCTGAGACTTCAAGGAAGTTTGGGAACTGAGAATGGTAGTAAATCAGGGAAGCAAGCCAGTCCTGGCAATCTCTTGAAAGGGCAGTTTTTTGAAGCCTGGGAAGTCAGAGGCCAGGCTTCTAGAGGTCATGTCTGAGGCGTGTAAGTGAGACTTGGAGCAGGAGATAATAAACATAAGCTTCAGGAGTTTGGAAGGGCAAGAAAGGAGAGTTTAAGAAGATTTTCAAAAGATATATCAACTTCAGTTTCAGCTACTTGGGAGGCTGAGGCTGGAGGATCACCTGATCCCAGGAAACCGAGGCTATGGTGAGCCATGATCACACTACTGCACTCCAGCCTGGAAGACAGAGTGAGACCCTGTCTCAAAAAATAAAATATAAATAAAATAGCAATAAAAAATAGATGTAACAAGATCAACTGAGGGGAATTTATTTTGGAAGAGAGGGAACTATTGAGAGCAGGAGAATTAATGAGTGGATTTTAATAATGCTACAGAAATAAAGTTCAAAGGAGAAAGACAGATAGTCTAGAGTCTAAATTAAGTGATTTGCTTTGAAGAGAAAAGACATATTTTTATCCAAACCCAGAGGAAAGAATGATGGCAGTTATGTCAGGCAGACTTGATGTTAAATAGGGAGGGGTAATTGGGAGGTCACAGATGTGAGACGCCTAGAAAATGCTCAGGTGAATGAGCACGTTGCAGTTTGGGTGAGTGTTGGACAGAGTGATTTTGTCATGGGTTAACCTGGCACTACTTTTCTTCCTTGTCTACTCCTCTGTAATTGGGTTCAGTGGAGAAGGCTGAGGTTAGAGGTGCGAGGTTGATTTTGTTTCCATGTAGATGAACAGCCCCTGTGTATGGATCGCTGCTGCTTTTTCTCACGTACTGTATGTCCCATGTGGCCAGTAGACAATGTTTGATTCATTCTCATTCTGTGCCAGTGCCTTAGACCTAGGTGTCAATGACAGCCAGCTGTCACTCGTTCCTTGGCTTCACAAAGGGAAAGAAAGAAATTCTCATAAGAAGTAAATGTCCTAAAATAGATTATTTATGTTTAATGGAAAATAGAAAATATTTAATGGAATAATTGAAAACCTCCTGGTAATTTTATGAGGGAGTTATTTTTAAAATTTCTATGTGAAAGAATTTCAAAGCAGAGCCCTTCTTTCTGTTCCTAGAGAAAACAAAATGTGATTTGGTCTTCTCACCAGTGCTTTGTGTAGGAAAGGATGGCAGAATGCTGAGTGAGGGAAGCCAATCAGGTTATTGAAATGGAGCCACTAGAATGTGTGTGTCTCTTTCCAGGACCATGAAACCTCCTTCCCCAGGGCTCTCTCAGCACAGAGGCTCTCCCCTCGGTGGTGCTTCCTAGATGGTGAGTTCTGCATTTCTTGTGGGTATCATGGGAGTTGGGGAAGTTGAAGAGCAAGGCATCAATTGATAGGGGGGACTCTAGTTTTCCAAAAGATTATTCAGAAAGCTTTCTTGTCACTCCACATGGCTGGTTTTTGCGTGCGGAACAATGTGGGCCTACTAATGTTGCACTGTCCTTTCCTGCAACTATTTCCCTCAACACAGCTTGGTTAACTCTGGCTGAACTCCAGCATCAAGTTGCTCAGGCTGATGTTTCCTTTTCATCAGCCCTCGTTTCTTAAAACTTGACTGCCTGCCTTAAATTAATTCAGACCAGTAGCTGGATTCTATAAGCACAGGATGGATACTAATTTCTATGTTGTTTGCATCTTATGGAACATTCATATTATTTTTATGAGACCATTATTGCAGTATGATGTATACATTTCTGGAGAAAGGTAGAAAAATTCAGTTGCATTCACATCTGCTTGGATCAGCATGACATATTGCATGCATAACATGTTAGTTATTTTATGGTTGTTTAATGAGTCTGTTTTTATCTCAAATATCTGTCTCCTAGATGTTGCCTGATATTACATTTCTATCCAATTACCCATATTGCATACCTTCTCACCTCTGTATATTCATGCTTACATACTACCCAGTGTATCTACTACTCATTCTCTCTCTTGTTCATATGGAGACACGGTTTTCATTGTAGACCTCGTTTTTGTTTATCTGGGTGAGCATCTGAGAGGATATAAACGTGAATATGAGTATGACAGGATTTGTGAGTGTATGAGCAAGCGTTAGGATGGCAGCAGCAGAGATCTATTAAGATTTAAGGACTGTCCAGTAGCCTAGCATGACTGGAATGTAAGGGTTTTTAACTGGTATAGTGGAAGAGAAGGTTATAACTTTGGTGCCAGATCACAGAACACTTTAAATGCCATAGGCATATTTTTCTAGTGTTATGAAGATGGCCACTTGTATTTATATGAGATCTAACCCACATAAATCATGATGCAAGTTTTTGTTAATGTCTCGTCAGCTGCCTCTGTGGACTTTCCTCCAGCTTCTTTATTCCATAGCAATGAGAAACATAATCATTTGTCATTCCTGAATTTGCAGAGGAACAACATGTATTTCAGAAAATTATGAAAATATTTATGTTATGTTCTATCTAAAGTCTTAGATAAAACTACAACTGTTGTGGCTAACAGTCTTAACCCAGATGTAGTTTCACTCCATAGGTTTATTAAAAAAACCTTTGAAAGGTAATTGCAGTCATAGTTTAAAAGAACAAAATAGAGTGAATTTCTCCAAGGCAGATTTTATTCTATTCTTAGATTTTAGAGAGCAGGGACGATGATTGGCTGGTTTCTTAGTTCAGTCCCCTTTGGAGAGAAGCTACTCATTAAGTGTTTGTGAATTTAAAATAATTACTAGCATTTTGAGTTTTTCTTTCTTGTGCTGTTTGTTTTGTAGAAAATCTATTTATAATATTTGGGTTTTGTTAGATAGATGTAAGTGAGAAGCACGTCATTTTTGGTTTGATTTTTTTTTTTTTTTTGAGATGGGAGTCTTACCCTGTTGCCCAGGCTGGAGTGCAGTGGCATGATCATGGTTCACTGCAACCTTGAACTGCTGGGCTCAGGCAATGCTCCCACCTCAGCCTCCCAAGTACCTGGGACCACAGGGGCATGCCACTATCCCCAGCTAATTAAAACAAAATTGTTTTTGTAGAGATGAAGTCTTGCTTTGTTGCCCAGGCTGGTCTGAGACTCCTGGCTTCAAGCAGTTCTCCCACCTGAGCTTCCCGAAATGCAGCTGATAGTTCTTTCTAATATTAAGAATATTTAAAATAATTTCTAGAAACCCAAAATTTCTAATTTAGGGTTTTTTTTTTTTTTCTTCTCATACCATAGATGCAGCTCAATCTCTTTTAGAGAATGCTTAAATAATTTTTTTTGCTGTTTTGGCTTCCTTCAGACATGGCTCCAAGGATGCAGGTTGAAAGTGAAATGATTCATTTAAGACCACATATGGTCCCTGGCCTGAATCTTCAAGCCGTTTTCCAAAATGGGCAGTCACTTCCCTCAGAAGTCTACGTAACCGTAGCTTTTTCTAGCTTTATTTACTTAATAAATACATAGCAATTCCTGACTTTCTTTAAGATCCTGTGCTAATTTCAGGCGGCATAAAAGATTAAATGAAACAGATTTTTAAAGAGGCAGAGTCTCTTAGTCTCATGGTTATCTGTGAAGATAGTCTGTATAAGAAGTTTTAAAAACTGTAAATGTGCATGGAGGCAGGGTCAATACATTCTGTCTGGGGTAGGGAGGTTGGGACTGAGAAAGGTTTTACAGAAGCATTTGAGCTGGTTCTTTAAAGATAAGTTTGATTTAGATGGCAGAGGCAATGGCCAGGGCTTTCTAAGCCTTAGGATAGCAGTGGCAGAGGCATGGAAGTGCTGAAGTTTTCTTAATAGATTTAGGGACTGGCCAGGAGACTAGCACGACCATCATGTAGGGATTTTGACCAGCATAGTTGAAGAGAAGATTATAAATTTGATGCCAGATTACAGAACATTCTGAATGCCATCTGCATTTTTTTTCCCCCTAGCAACTTCTGCTGATCGCTTTTATCGAATAGACAGATCTCAGGTAAGTTTTTTTCCAGCCTGCTTGTAAAAGTGAAAAATTCCCAAGTTAATGTACTTTATTGGTAGCTAATCTCATAAATTTTTCTAACAAAACACACTGAGACACTTACAAATTTCGGAATGGTGTTCATAACCTAAGCTATGAATCTTTTATTTATCTTCACATGTTTTATGGTTTATGGACTCAAGATGGTATGGCTTGATCTTGCAAATGAGTACAGGAAATAAGTTGACTTGTAGACATTATCACCAGCCTATACTGCAAATTTTCATTCACAAAGATATTTTTACTCCTTCTTAGCCAAATTTTGTATGTCTTTTTAAGCTCATTTCTGTTTAGCAAGTTTGAGGTCCCAAGTATGTAACTAGACTACTTAGTTTCAGTTCGCCAATCCCTAGAGGTCAGTGATGAGAAAAAAAATATGGTTTTGCCCAAGTTAAGAAGTCCTCCCATTATCTGAATTATCCTAGAAAAAACATGTACAGTATTGAACCTAATGATAAAGATGTTAACCATGCTGCTTAGCTTTGACCAGATGATGGGGTGGAAGTCCAGGCTATCATACACTCTCACTCGGTCAATGGTATGTGGGTGTCACTTCTCTAATAGTATTTGGGAAGATGAGGCAAGACCATTTCTAGATATACCTAAAAAAAATCCTGATTAATTGGAAATCCTGAACCAAGGGGATTCATCTCTCCCCATCTCCCACTGCCTGCCATAGCGCAGCTTTGGGGAGGATCACCAACTGATCAAGCTCTGACAACACACTGTGATCCTTTGACATGTTGGAGAATTTCATTATTCCTCGAGATCAAGAATACTTGTTTTGTTATTCTTCATGCAACAGACTTCTTGTTCTTCCTTAGGAACATTTGCACTTTGTGATGGAGATTTCCCAAGATGAGATTTTTATTCTGGACCCAGATATGGTGGTGTCACAGCCAGCGGGGACACCTCCGGGCATGCCTGACCTGGTGGTGGAGCAAGCCTCGGGGTGAGTGTGCCTCTCCTTGCCTGTGAGGCTGGCCTCAGGGTGACATCCATGTCTGGTTCGCCTTTGAACTTGACATCATTCTAACGACATCAAATGATTTTGAAATGTAGATTTTCTTGTTGGATTTCCTTAGAGTGGTTATTATAAGTCTGTCTTATGAATGGCCGTGTAGAAACACAAAACCAGATTTGCACCATGTCCAAGCCTTCTTTCTCCATCACAGCAACTCTTCCTAACAAACCTAGAAAACACTAGTACTTGTGTTTGTGCTTACACGTTTGTAGTAACTCTGTTATCTACATTAAAAATTGACACAGGTGATTTGACAGTTTTTCTCCTCTTCCTTCTCTTTGCTATTTCCAGGCTGCTGGAGACACGTAGATTGTATCATAACTATGATGTACCAAGCACTTTTTAGGAGCTCTGTCCTGTGTCTCTCTCCTATTTCTACCACCACTTCTTAGTGACTTAATCATCTTAAGTGCTCTGTGCTTATTTTCTCATCTGTAAAATACAAATAATAATAATCCTCACTCAGAGAATTGTTTGGTGATTAAAAGAATTGATACAGATAAAGCACTTAAAGTCATTCCTGGCATTTTTAAAACACGCATTAAATAGAATGTTATAATAATCATCATCATCATCATCATTCCACAGTGACCTTGAAAATTTGGAACAATTATTCTTAATTCATAGATTAAAAAATTGAGACCTAAAGCGTCATGTTACTTGCCTAGTATTTCACAGAAAATAAGTAGAAAAAATGAGATACAGTCCTGGGCTGCCTGATGCCAGAGCCCATGCATTTAATGACCATCTTCCACCACCAAAACAATTAATATTTCTAAGTTATTTCAGTAATTCAAAACTATTTATTTAGAGAATTTTGTGTGCCAGGTCTTAGTGTCAGCACTTGGGGAATAACAGTACAAAAATAAAAACAGATAAGAATATTTGCCCTTGTGAAATTTAGTGTTTTACTGGTCTATGGGGCCTGAATTATTGAAATAAGAATTGCTCTAGAAACCATACACAATGTACCCAGATAGTTAATGCAAATGGTATACACATCATCATACAGTATGAATAAACAGGCCACTAGGCTAGCACAACTGCAATGTCATCTTCATCCCTGTTTTCCCCTTGTCACTTGATTTACTTTTTTTTCACTTTTTTGCTTCACTGCTGCTATTTGTGAGTGGTTTCTCACTCTGCCAGGGGCAGTTGATGTCCAGTAGGTACCAAGTCTAGGGGGAGACAAGAGAGGCCACAAGTGGCTGTGTAGAACAGATAGAAAGCTGTTCTCAGGAAGCTAGAGCCGCGATGTCAGAGCATGAGGGAAGGCTGACAGGCACAAGGGGTAGCCTGATGCACCCCTGGGAGCTCCAAAGGTGGTGGGGAAGGCCACCTTCGCAGGGCACATCCATGCGTCAGACCCATCAGTAGTGGGGAAAGAAGGTAGAATGTTCTATCCTACTGCAGAAGCAGCAGGTGCTAGAGCCAGGTTAGCCCACCTAACCTGGCTTCTGGCTCTTGATCTAGTAAGGAGAAAGTCCATTCTGCCAAATTGCCCTGGTCTTTGCTCACTTGGTCATTCTCTTTTTCTTTTTCGTTTTCTTTCTTTTTTTTTTTTTTTGAGACGGAGTCTCGCTCTGTCGCCCAGGCTGGAGTGCAGTGGCGCAATCTCGGCTCACTGCAAGCTCCGCCTCCTGGGTTCATGCCATTCTCCTGCCTCAGCCTCCCGGGTAGCTGGGACTACAGGTGCCCACCACCATGCCCGGCTAATTTTTTGTATGGTCGTTTTCTTTATGTCAAATAATGGCCAAAAGGAATTGCTTTGGCCTGGCTAGACCTCTGTTAGCTCTAGCTCCAAAAATAAAGGAGCCTGAAAATCCACCAGGACTTGAATCAGTGCCTTTCTTATTTCTCACCAGTTGCCTCCCCAGAACTAAACCAGGATCAGGGAAGCAGTGAAACAGGATGGACTTTGTTATTTTCTAATCTGCATTTCCACACTAGGTCTATTACTTCTTATTCATGTCACATTTAAAATGACTTAATCTTGAAAATCAGTTTTCTCATCTGTAAAGGGGACAGAATCATACAAATAGTTCATGATTGTTGAGATAAGTGAATGAAATAATAAATATGTAGTATCTGGTAAACATTCCATAAAGATGAATTTTGCCTCCCACATTTACAGGCAAGATTCATCTTCAGAAAGTGGAGATGAAGTCACGTGGCTGACTTTGAATGCGTAACTGTCTGGTGCCCTTCTTTCTCTCAGGATCTCAGACTGGTGGAATCCTGCCCTGCGGAAACGCATGCTGAGTGACAGTGGGCTGGGGATGATAGCTCCCTATTATGAGGACTCAGATCTGAAAGATCTCAGCCACTCCCGCGTGCTACAGTAAGAGTCCTCTCGCTGTTCTTTTCCTCTGTGCCACTGTGATTGCTGGGAGAGGATGTACTGTGGGCTGTGCACCAATGGGCAGGATTCTCTTTTCAATGGCGCTCAGGCTGTCTCGTGCAGGTGCTACTCTGTGTTTGACATTCCATGCAGCTTGCTCACTTTTATCTACCCCAAACTCTTCCTGGAGCTCCACCTTCCATTTCTCTTGCTCCTGAGCCACCTTGAGCCCTTTGCATGTGGACCTCCCCATACTTTAAACCTCACCAGGGTCTTCTTTACTGGAGTCTAGCGTTTATCAGACGTCCCTGTTTGCCACATCATAAAGACATGCGTGAGAGTGATCATGAGTAGCTTGAAAGTGACACGTGGTTTTTCATTTGTGAACACGTTATCTTGCTGTTTCATTGGTCCTCAGTCCTGAGCCTGTGCACTTGTGCTCTACCCAATATTGCTACGTGGTTTTGTTGGCTAAAGCTGGGTGCTGACCATGTTGTGATTGCAGTCTCTGTGGGTAAGCAGTAAAGCATTTGTTCGTAGATCAGAACAGTACATGTGCTTTCTTCTGAGGTCTGATCATGGTGAGAGTGTAGGATGCATGCTGAAGTTCCACAGCAGTGTTGATGCCTTCGTGCTCAGTGAATCCACCTTCCTATCATCTCTCCTGGTGACAGATATATTCATGAGCTCCTACTCTTTAATTTCAGGCCAATCAGTCCATCTCAGAGGTTATACAAATCCAGTGTGTTCATGAAATTAGACTGGTTTTCAGTTTACCTGGGATCTTAATCAAATAGTGACAATGGCCTTGTAACCACACAGCCTTAGCCTTTTGATAGAATAACGAGATTACTAAAGATTCTTAGAAGCCTAGGGTTAACTAAAGAGGCAAAGGAAGTGCTTTGTTTCTGAAGGAAGACCAGAAGCAATTTCAATATTACGAAGGGGGAAAAAAATGAGAAATTTGGAGCTAATTATTTCATTGGCAAAGTTTCGAGGCACACACCCTGAGGGCAAAAGGAGACTGCATTTTAATTGCTTCTCTGTATTACTTCTTATTTTCTTGTGTGAAGAGGGGAAAGGAACAAAAATGAATTACTATGGATTTTTCTTTTTAATTAAACTGTGTTGTTAGTTTCTGATGGCATTTTGATTGCTTACAATTCAGGATGTTTTTCCATTTCCTTTTTATACAGAATTGAGGCTTGCGACCAGGGTGAGTCAGCCACCCACGGATGGCTAAAAAAGTGGCCATTTATCTGTGGGCAGACTTATTGGAAAATTAGAGTTTTAATTAGCTACAGAAATAAAATTAAGCCTAGACAAAGCAGATGAGTATTTTAGTTGTACATGTATATAGTCTGTTTCCACAAAGCAAATATGAGCTCAATCTAGTTTTCTAGGTCCTGATTTTTCTATATGTAACATACTGATGTACATATCATGATAAATAAAATAATTATATATAAGATAGTAAATATTCTTCCCACGAATCACAAATAAATTTGCCACTTTACATAATAGCCAGGTTCTTAAAACCAGATGTCAAAATCAACTCTTTCTGTTTGTTTGAGTTATATTATCCTTTTAGGGATTTCTCTTAATTTTTGGTTGATCTTCAATTGACAGTTATAAGTTTTCACAGTCATTTATACTACTTTAATTCTAAAATGCCCTAGAGTAGTAGACACTTAAAAAAAAAAACACCTGAAAAATTACTTTGAAAACAAGCAAAGGGACATTCAAACATTCACTCCTAGCCTATAGACTTCTCCAACTGAATCTCCAGACATCATGCAACAAAGACAAGTCATCTCCACTAGGTTCAGTGTGAATTCCTGCCTCAGAAAAGACACAAGCATATTAGAATTGTGTTAAATCACTTAAAAATAAAACTAAACTAGATGCCTTACCTCAACTTTTTAATTAATTCTTTAGCTATTAAACTTATTATGTCCATTTATTTCTTAGAATATCTTTTTATTTCCTTCAGACATCATCTCTGACACAAATAGGTATAATTGCAGTTGTGGAAATAACTAACAATGTTAGTAATAACTAGTATTGATGGAATACTTCCCACTTGCTTTGTATCATAATTAAATAATCTTTCAACAATTTTGAAATTTAGCCGTTGCTTAACAGATAAGTAAACTGAGGCTCCTAGAGGGTAAAATATTTATCTTAGGTCACTTCAGATGACAAGTGTGGTTTGACCTGAGGTCGGTTTGACTTCTGACTCCATGTTTTTTCCGTTGTCCTACACTATCTTCCCAAAGGGACCATACAAAGTCAGCATACCAGAGCCACAGAGGTTTACTTTGGTTTCTATTTCTCTTTTTACATTTGTAAAGTGAAAAATCCTACAATATAGGGGTACTATGCATGCACATTAAATATACAACTGCACACTTACCCAGAAGTAAATATGACTGAGAATTAATGTTTAAGCATTTTTTTCTTTAAAAGAAGAGATTGAAACAAAATATAATGGTGGTAAACTTCAGTTTAAAATTATTAAACATATATAAACTATGTTCTAATCAAAATGAGCATAAAAATTATATAGAAGGCCATCATGTACCAACCACCTTGATTTATTATGTCGTTGTTTTTCTATATTTGCATTATGTCTTTCTTTCAAGCCATAAACGACATAAAGTAGTGGAAAAAATATTGTTTTAGGCTGGGCGCAGTGGCTCACACCTGTAATCCCAGCACATTGGGAGGTCAAGGCGGGCGGATCACGAGGTCAGGAGATCAAGACCATCCTGACTAACACAGTGAAACCCCGTCTCTACTAAAAATACAAAAAATTAGCCGGGCATGGTGGTGGGCGCCTGTAGTCCCAGCTACTTGAGAGGCTGAGGCAGGAGAATGGCGTGAACCCGGGAGGCGGAGCTAGCCATGAGCTGAGATAGTGCCACTGCACTCCAGCCTGGGCAACAAGCAAGACTCCATCTTGGGGAAAAAACAAACAAACAAACAAACAAAAAACATTGTTTTATGGTTTTGTTTTGTTTTGTACAAGTTGGAGTCTTTCTAATTGGAAAATCTGTAATCTGAGATGCTCCAAAATCCAAAACTTCTAAAGTGCTGACGTGATGCTCAAAGGAAGTGCTTATTGGAACATTTTGGATTTCAGATATTTGCATTTGGGATGCTCAGCTGGTGAGTATAATGCAAGTATTCCAAAATCCTAAGAAAACAAAAATCTGAGACACTTCTGGTCCCAAGCTGTTTGGAGAAGGGATACTCAACTTGTATTTTTGTTTTCGCCTGTGTTATATAATGCATATATTTTGGAACTTGCCATTTCACTCAGCATTGTGTTTTTGAAATTCATTCATATTGATAGATGTGGGTTTTTAATAATTTTTGTTATAGAATATTGCATCATACATATGCTATAAATTATTTCTCCATTTCGATATTGATTTCTAATATTCTATTATTTTTAAAAATGCAGCAAACTTCTTCTGCTCTTCTGTGTTGCAGAATATATATGCAGTTTCAGCTTCCTCGATATTGCAACATTTACCTTGCCAGTTAGAGTATTTATGAGTAGTTGAAACGGCCCTGAACACCTGTTGTAATAATCTAGGTATGATCAGCATCTGTTGCTTTAAGCTTTAAGGCCCCAGTCAACTTGGGAGATAGGAAAGTTTCAATTTTAACACCCTGTTGACAGTGCCAAATAACTCACTACATAAAAAGAAATCAAAAGAGAAACTTTCAGTTCTTAGAACTGAAAATGCTACTTATTAGTGTTTTCAAGACACTGCTAACGTGGTATTCGTAGAACGATTTAGGACTGTAAATTCATTTATCAAGGGAAAAATGATTGTGTGCAAATAAGCAAAGCATTCAATTTGATAAATTGGAAAAAGAATCCCAGCGTAAAGAAATGAGAGGGGAGAAAAAAAAAAGATAACAAGAGAAATCAGTGACAAGGAGAATAAAGCAGACAGATGATGAACCGAAAATAAAATTTTTGGCCAGGTGTGGTGGTTCACGCCTGTAATCCCAGCACTTTGGGAGGCCGAGGCGGGCGGATCACAAGTTCAGGAGATGGAGACCATCCTGGCTAACACGGTGAAACCCCGTCTCTACTAAAAATACAAAGTAGCCAGGCATGGTGGCGGGCACCTGTAGTCCCAGCTACTTGGGAGGTTGAGGCAGGAGAATGGCATGAACCCGGGAGGCGGAGCTTGCAGTGAGCCGAGATTGCGCCACTGCACTCCAGCCTGGGCGACAGAGTGAGACTCTATCTCAAAAAAAAAAAAAAGTAATACAAAATAAATAAATAAATAATTCTTTGAAAAGATAAATAAGACAAAATTCTGAGAAGTCTGATTTAAAAGAAAAAAGTAATGAAAACAGAAATATACCCACAGTGCTTTCCCCATATACCCACAGTGCTTTCCAAGTCACTCAGGGCATTTCTGTGCCAAGCAGCCCTTTCCCCTCCAAATTGCAACTGACCTGGCTCTGTTGGATCTTCTCAGCATTTTCCCATGGTTTTAAACTTTAAAATCGTCCCTTAGATCCATCAACCTCCCTTTTTCTCAGGCAGAGTGAGAGGCAATTAATAAAAAGAGGATGAATTAGATTTCTATCATTACTGGAACTGGTTGCATTTTTATGGACTGTTTCCATTTAGAAACATTATAATTTTAAGAAAGATATACATATGCCTACTTATATGCAGGTCCTATAGGAAAGACTGTAATTCCAAAGTAGGATACATAATGTGTACAGTGTCTTCAATACCTGTGAACATAATAACGAATATTTGAGAACCAATTTTGAAATGAATTGGTGAGAAGTGGTTGACTGACATTATTACTGCTAGGACCATAATGATTTTGTCTTTAAGTTAAAAAAAAAATATTTTCAAGGTTCAAGGAAGTTCTATTTAAAATTACATTATTCTGGAAATGTATTTGCTCTTATCATTAATTGTACCACCACGATTAGTGACAAGACTATATTTCATT